GGTCATTCAAACACTTTGAAATCACTTAGATTCCCAAAGATAGAAATTCTATAGCGGACGCCCTAGCAAAGATAGCCTCGTCGTTGGATTCAGAAGCTCCAGATAACATTCCTGTTCGGTTCGTCGATGCTCCAACTATCAGTTCGACCAGACAGGCCGTAAATATGACTCAACCAGACTCTTGGATGACTCCCATTTTCCAGTACCTTAAGGATGAGACCTTGCCAAATGACAAGGTCGAGGCAAGGGTCCTGCGAGCAAGATCTGCTCGTTACATACTCATCGGGGACCAGTTGTACAGGAGAGGATTCAGTGCCCCTCTCCTCCGATGTGTAACCACTGAAGAAGCAGACTACATCATAAGGGAAATTCACAAAGGGATCTGCGACAATCACACAGCTACTCAATCTCTTGCGAACAAGGTTGTTCGTCAGGGGTATTATTGGCCCCGGATCCAAGAAGATACGCATAATTTTGTCAAGAAATGTGACAAGTGTCAGCGGTTCGCGAACATTCCGCGAGCCCCCTCTCACGAGCTGATAATGATGTCTAGCCCCTGGCCATTTTCCATGTGGGGGATCGACCTTATCGGTCCCATGCCAGTCGGAAAAGGAGGAGTCAAGTATGCCGTGGTCGCGGTAGATTATTTCACAAAATGGGTGGAAGCTGAACCGCTGGCAGCGATCACGACCAGAAAACTGAAAGACTTCATTTTCAAGAACATAGTGTGCCACTACGGAATTCCCCACACCCTCATCTCGGATAATGGAAAGCAATTCGATAACGAGGAGTTCAAGCAGTTTTGCGACGAGTTGGGCATCCGTAAAAAATTCGCCTCAGTCGCCAGACCGCAAGCAAATGGCCAAGTTGAAGCTGTCAACAAGACCATCAAGCACACTCTAAAGGCCAAGCTTGGGGCAGCTAAGGGAAATTGGGTCGACGATCTCCCCGAGGTCTTATGGGCGTACAGGACAACTCCAAGAACCTCTACCTTAGAAACCCCTTTTTCGTTAGCCTATGGCTGCGAAGCAATGATTCCTATAGAGGTGGGAGCTGGTTCTCTTCGGAGAGACTTGTACGATAAGGTTGAAAATGAAGCACTTATGAGAGCGAGCCTAGATCTTGTTGAGGAGCACCGCGGCAAAGCTTCGCTAAGGATAGCAGCCTACCAACAGCGTGCGAAGAGATTCTTTGATTCAAAGGTCAAGCGAAGAGACTTTCAGGTCGGTGAGCTTGTGCTAAAATAAGTTCTCCCCGGAACCAAGGAGCCAAGCGCGAGAGATTAGGACTGACCTAGGAAGGTCTGTACCGGGTCGACAAGGTGATCAGACCGGGGACTTACCATCTCAAAAGGCTGAACGGTTCCAAAGTACCTCGAGCTTGGAATGCCAAGTACCTCCGGCCATACTATCAGTAATCTTGAGCTCATCTCTCATTGCAAATTAGGTTTTAATTTTGTTAGATTCCTTTTTATTGTAAAATATTATCCTGTTCGCTTGTAACAATTCGCATGTGATATTGCCTATGTAAAACGAACTGAATTGTAAACTACACTCATATATGATTAAGCGAACAACAATCAAAAGCAGTGTTTCATGTACAAAAATTGTTCAAGACCCTATTAATCCCTATGGAGTCGGTCTCATCGCACTAAGCCTAGTCGGTGGGGGGATCCTTCGAAGCAAGACTCGAACCCTCTGCCTGGTCGGATCCTCGGGCGGCTGCTGCTGCTTGATCATCTTCCTTCGCCAAAATCTGCAAGGTCTCTTGCCACCCCTTTGGGAGGTCGGACATATCCAGATTTGGGTTCTTTGGTCGCAGGATATAAATGGACCCGATCACCCAGTCGGTGGCCTTATCCTCGATCTCCTCTGACTGGATCCACATTTCTTCAGTCAGGGAAGCAATTTTTTCTCGACTCTCCTAGAGTTCGGCCTCGAGAGCTAGCCTTTCCTTTTCGGAGGCCTCCCTTTCTTTTTCTGCTCGCTGGGCTTGTGTTAAGGTCATTTGGAGCTCTTGGTCCTTCTCCTCGACTTCCTTGGAGAGCCTAGCGGTTGTCTTCTGAAGCTCTTTTACTGCGTCCACAAGCCGTTCGAGCTCCGCCTTTTGGAAGTCAACTGTCTGCATAGTGGCCTCCTTTTGGCTCAAGTATCTGTTCGCCGCCTCAAACGATTACGTTCTTTCAGCTTTGATGGTCACCAGGCTCTGTTTGAGCTTCGCGATCTCCTCTTTCAGATCATTTGCCCCCTTCGCGGCCCCCAGCCGAGCTTTCTCCATGGACATCCTCATGGCAAGCAAAGCCTGCGAACAAGAAGTTAGAATGAAAATGGTGGACAAGCTTTAAGAACAGTTCGTTTACCTTGCTTAGATGCTGGAACAACGTGGTCATCAGGTCGTCACCCGTATCGGAGAACTCATCATATGACTCCGATAGCCCACACTCGAGCAGAGAGTAGACTATCGGCTACAGGTATTTGGGTAGGTTCCCCAGTGAATCCAGCACTGGTGTGTCTTTCGCCTTGTCAACAGCAACTGTTTCGTCTGCAGGCTCCTTGCCCGACCTCCTTTTGACGTCCCGCCGCGACCTTAGTGGCTCTTCCTCAGATTCGGTCTCTGACTTCTCGACCTGAATCTGCTTCCTCTGCTTCGACCGCTGGGCCAAAGCCTTCTGCCTCGGGCGACCAGGTGGCTGAGCGACCTGTTCTGTCCTGGTCATTTCTTTCTCAAGAGGGGATTGGGAGGGCATTACAGTTCGCACCGGTTGTGCCGTTGTAGGGCGAGCAGCTTTGATTCCCTTTCTTTCCTCAAACGAGGGAAGTTGAATGGTGCTTGCTGGGGCTGCTCGGAGTCTTTCAGAGGTATGGTCACTGCGTGAAGGTGCGTTAGTAACTAAGCAAAAATTATTCCACAACCAGAAAGGAATCAGTGTGCAACTTACATTCTGGGGACTCTAAAGATGCCTAGTCATTGAAAAAATCGTACTTCAGCAAGTTTGCAGTCGTCATGAGCTTCCTTGCGTCCCGACTTTCTTAAGGGAGAACCCCAAAAGACACGATCCTGTCCGGGTCGGTGAGCAGGTCCAAGCTGGTCATCTTGTTAACTGCAAAAGAATGCAGGTCGTTAGAAAAAGCGTTCACACAGTTAATGAATTTAGCAAAGAGGGACCTACTTGGTTTCTGAAAGCGGTAGTAGCCGCGTAGCAGAAGAAGAAGAAGAAGAAGAAGAAGAAGAAGAAGAAGAAGAACTTCTTCTTATAGGCCCCCGCGTTGCTGGGATAGCTATGTATCCCTTCAGCGATGGTAGCTCGCTGAGACAAATAATAGGAGTCTTTGTCCTTACTCCTTTTGAGGTAATACGAACAGCCGAGCTCCACCGCTGTTAATTCGCCCAAGCCGCTCTCAAGGCACGCGATGTACATTGCAATAGTGATGACATACGCGTTTGGCGTTAATTACATTGGTGCGATCCCGAAGTGATCCAGGACTGACCTAATAAAAGGGTAGAGAGGAATCAACCCCCCACCCTTGAAGATCTCTTCGGAGATCGCAGCCAGGCCATCGGAAGGATACCGTGACGATCGGGTGGCGTTGAGAAACACCTCCGCGCGGACGCCAAACTGTTTCTTTATCCTATTGAATTCTTCTCGGGTGAGAACAGAGAAAACCTCAAGGGATTCATCCACGGGAACATCCCGCGAAGACGAACCGGCTCCTTCTTTGGATCTGGATGCTAAGGGTTCCATTCCGCAGTTTGCAGCACCAATAGACAGAAGGTCATTTTAGCCATCGTATGACGCCCCGTACGACGGCTTGGGCCAAATTCCTTAAAACCTAATAGTGACTCCAGCCACCATTCACTGCAAGAACCCGACTCCATCATCGCGCCTCTGATGAAACATCAGATGACGGAACGCCATTGTACCACCAGATAAAAAAAAAAAAAAAAAAAAAAAAAAAAAAAAAAAAGAGGGAGCAAAAACCCTTACCTTTTGGGGGACGTGACCGTGAACGGTTCTTGCTTCAGGTATCGAGAAAGAAAGGCTTCCGGCTTACAGAGAGTTTTTGTTTGAGACAAATGGGATTCTGGCGGCCTCATCTGGAAAATCTGGGCTTTTATATGGACTACGAACCGACGTTAATCGCCCCTCAGAATCGAAACGACGTTTCTCTCTCTTCGCATTAAATGCGCCCCGCGCCGTATTTATTGTTGTGATGAGGGTTGTCGTTTCGGGTGCGTCGTGCAATTAATGCTCTGCTAAAGCAGTAACGCGTTAGCACACAACGCATTTAATGCGCCTGGCAAACGCCTGGCACGCGTAGAGCACCTATCAGCGCAAAAACGACCTCATTAGCTCTCCATCTCTAAGGCACGGTAAGGAGATCTCGATGAAGTCAGGACGCTTGGGCAATGGCTATCAGGTCGTTCGAACGAGGTTTCGTGAAGTCATGTTCGCAAAAGGTCATATCCCGATCTTCTTTCATTCAGGTCAGAATGGTTAGGGCCTCCACTCGTGGCATGACTTAGTTTCCAAGGTTTGACCCTCAAACCTTAAAAACTAGGGGACTTCTGTTATGCCTGGGAAATCAAGGGCTGACGTGGGAAATCACGTGATCGTGGTGACCTGCTCCCGTTAGAACGATAAGCACATGTCAGGCATGCAAGGCACCATGGAGCTCCCACATGTCCATTTCCCTGCTCCAAATCACGTAAAATCAGCTTGGAAGGTGGGCAATGTGACGTAAAGCCGAATTTAGTCCTGACATTCGCACCAACCCACGGATTTAATGATGGTTATCTGCACTCATCTCACTATAAAAAGGAAGGATCTTTTCATTAAAAGAATTCGGCCTTCTTGCACTCTGATCTAGCTTTCTCTCTCTCTTATCATTATACTTTTGTATTTACTTTTCTCAAATTTTTTGTAAGTCAGTCCGATGTTGCGACCTGACCCTCGATTCTNCATAGTATTACTTATAAATATTTGGATGAATCAATCTTACCTTGACTATTCCCTTCCATGGTTGTTCGATGCTGCTACAATGCAAATTAAGTTTGACAATTTTATCTGGTTCGAAACTTGATGGCAAGGACTTTAAAGAATACCCATGCCATTCGAGCAACCGTAACTCATTAGAAAGGTATTCAAGGTCTTCCAGAAGCTGCACATTGTGAAGTTCAAGTAGTCTTAGATTGATCATCTTCGAAAAAACTTTAGCACTTACAATCAAATTCAGATCCGTTTTAACCATTATGCCTTCAACTCGTTTAGATCCCTAAAAAATATTAACAGCACAATATAAGTGAATAACAAAATTATAAAGATATTGATATAATTGTCAGTTATATAAACGGTTCAAGAAAATGAATTAAAAATAAAAATACTTACTTTCTACTAAATTTCTTACTGTGTTTCTTTTTAGGACATGGTGAATATCTGCTTCTTCCCACAATCTACTACGTTTTCCTGGCTCTTTCAAGGATTCTCTCTTAACAATTTGTTGACCCATAACTTGTAACAAATCATGCATCCATAGTTTGTTTTCTTTTAAAATAGTTAGGAGAGATTTCTCAATAAGAATACTTATACCAATGGTTGCGCTAAAATCACAAGCATCAAGTATTCTTGTCACATAATCTCTTTTACACCCTTTGAAAAAACATGCAACATCGAGAAATATTTTCTTTTCCGTATTTTTTAGACAATCATAACTAATTTGAAGTTTATCTAGAATATCTTTTTCAGGTTCTCTTTGTAGTCTTTCTAGTGCACTCATCCATTCATTTACAGTTCTACCATACAAAAGAGAACCCAAAACTTCAAGAACTAATGGCACTCAACCAGCATACTTCACAACACACTCAGACAACTTCGAATAGTCTTTGGGAGATTGATAGTTTCTAAAGGCCTTCAAACTAAGGAGTTGGATACTATGATCATGATTTAGTTCCTCAACCTTGTATAAATGCTCTTCATCTATCCCGTGTGATTTCAACAAATGTTCATCTCTTGTGGTTATTATGATCTTACTGCCTAAGCCAAACCAATCACGACTTCCAACTAATTTCTTTAATTGTTTCCCATTAACCACATCATCTAGAACAATAATAACCTTTTTACAAGCCATTCTATTTTTTTATCAAACTAATTCCATCATAGAAATTGTATATGTGAATATCGCTTTCCATTAGGATTTCTGAAAGAAGTTGCTTTTGTAGAGAAACCAAACCATCTCTTTGTTCTTAAACTTCTCTAACATTAGCAAGAAAACACCTTCCTTCAAATTCACCTAATATTGAATAATAAATAACTCTTGCAATTGTTGTCTTGCCTATTCCGCCTATTCCCTAAATCCCTATCATACGGACATCATTAGACTTTACATCGATAAGCATCTTCATTTTCTCCAAATGTGAATTTATACTTACCAGGTCCTTAAGATCCATACATGTTGGAAGACTTAATTTACTTGATATGTTTGTGACAATTTCTTTAATAAAGTCTGACTCATGCCTACAAATTGAAAAGATCAATAAGAATTGTTACTATAGCATAGTCTCGTACATATTAATCTACAAATAAAATAGTACATCATACATATTCTCTATGTATAAGTAGCATTATAATAAGAAGATTTATTTTTCCATTCTTGTTTATTTTTTGTAATTACTTTGCAGATAATGAGTGTTAAATTTATTTATTTATTTTTTCTCTGTAAAAATTTGTTAAATGTATGAGGTAGAAAAAAAAATTATTCTGAGCAGAAAAGTTTACAGCAAGTACTTAACATTTTGAGCAACATAGAAGTGGTGTTGCCATGTCACAAGATACTAATGTGTTCAAAACAATTAATTCTTTGTATAAAATATTCGTCATTGATAAATAATTTATATTAAAAGAAATAATTGTTACCTATCCTTCAAATCCCATCCAGAAATATCAGCCACCTTTCTCAAAGCAGCCCTCCACCTTTTCACTTTTTCCATATTCTCCTTGAAAGTCTCTTCATGTTTAGAAAATGCTTTTTGAAAGTTTCTCTTTTGGTTCCTTACCGTTGATGGATCTACATCATAGAAAATCGGAATGATGGTTTGTCCTATTTCTTCTCCACATTGAACAATCTTAACAGCTTCATCCAAGCACCAAGTACAAGAGGCATAGTTTCTTGAGAAAACAACAATTGACATCCTTGATTCCTCAATTGCTTGATATAGTTCTCGTGAAATGTTTTTTCCTCTCTCAAGTTTCTCATAATTAATAAATACTTTAATTCCTTTTTGCTTCAAATAATTATAAAGATGACATGTGAAGCTCTTTCGAGTGTCTTTACCTCTGAAGCTTAGAAAGACATCATATTTCCAACCCTTAGAAACATAATTAGAGGAAGAACGTGCAGATGAAGGAGTAGATGAAGAGACTCTTTGCATGCTCAATTCACCGTTTATGAAAGCAATTTAATCCTCTGTATGAAAACAGGAAAATTTGAAAGATAATTAAATTCTTGCTGACCAATATATATATGTGTGTGTGTGTGTGTTTATTAGCTTGAATTACTCTCCATAAAATGAAATAATTGACATCTTAATTGTTATAGGAAAAAAAATTCAAAGAAAATTTGAAATTAATCATAGATGCTACTTTAACTCTTTAAGTACATGCTCAGCTTGTTTAAAACATATATGCATATGTTTCTTGAACGTATGAAATTAAAATAAAAAAACAAAAGAAAATAATAGATTTAAGAAATCCAAGTACTTTACCAAAGTAAAGATGTGTGAGCGAAATATGAGTTTCTGCAGTGAGCTTCAAACTTCCTGTTGAGTAAAATATTTTCTCTCTTTATGTTTGTCCCTTAGAGCAGTGTACAAAGATCACAGAGCAAATAGTAGACAAATTTAAGTGACAAAAAAAATATATATATATATATAAAAAAATTTAATATATTTGGTAAAAGTATTTGTCATCAAACTCCGATCTTGTTAAAATTGGTCTATTTTACTCTAGAACAAATAAATCAGATACATTGGCTTCTTAAAACAAAAACAAAAATTTGTTTCTTTAAAGAGAGACTCTAGAGAGAAAATATATGTAGCAATTTCCTTCTTTTTGTCATAAGTTCTTGCTGAACACCTATATGATATCATAGATCAATGAAAATACAACTGTTGTTAAAGTGAAAATTATTTTTTGAAAGAGAAAATAAATATAACTGCATGGTTCTGATTTGATCATATTTTATATGTTTCACTCAAACAACATAATCAGATGCTTCATCTTACGGCTTTGAGTGTTTTGCAGCAACCGATTGATTGACCTTGAACTGATAACTGTTTCTAATGGGAAGGAAGAGGACTTTTCTGTATTATAAAGTGAGTACAACTCATATTTATCCTTTTTCCCCTTGATTCATTTATGTCTCACCTTTTCGCCTTTTTTATTCATTTACTATTTTAGGTTAGTTCTATAATTTTTTCACGTAAAAATATCAAGTTTACCAAAAGGTATGTTTGTTCTCAAGTTTGGTGAGTGACAGTAAAAAGAAAAGCTAAATAATACTGTGGAGGGGCCTTTAATGTCTGGATATATATTTGAAATATATTACTTAGATCTTTACTTCTTCTAACATATTACTCAGTGATCTGAAACCCGAACCAAAATATCATCAGTCCTACAAGTTTGAAATCTAATAAACACACCCCTGTGATCTGACCACAGTCAAGGTTTTGCTTTTCTACACCAAATTCTGGCTTATTTCAACTGTCAAAATTCAAGTGATGTAATAATGGAGAAGGCCCCAAGATTTGATCCAACTAGTTAAACCAGCTGGGCTGGGCAGAGCTAAGTTTCAAAACAGTGAATTATTACAATAAAACTTCTCCATAGCCATAATAGTGAGATAAAACTAATTTATTATTTTAAGAAAGTTATAACTTAGTATAGGTGTAATTAAAAAAATAACAAGTTTGTTTTCTTATTTTATAATTCAGTTTTAGTAGTATGTATTAGGATTTTAATTCATTATTTCAATAGTCATTGTTGCAATTAAACAAGAAAAGAAAGAAAATAATCATGAGAATGATAGTACATAAATATAAAAAATTTCATGCCAAGAAGCTCTAAACATGCTTGAGAAGCTAAAAATATTTTGGATTCATAAAAAAATTGTCTATGCCAACAAGTTATTATATACTCGTAAATTAAAAGATGTGATAATAATTCTAAAGCACAAATCATTGTCCCAAATAATTTTAGATAAATATTTTATTTCATCTTAAACCTTTGATATAGGAGCGGATCCAGCCACTTTTTGGGTAGGCCATGGCCCACCCTCAAATTTTTTTTAAAAAAATATTAATATGTATAATTGATATATTTTGGTCCATCCTAACAAAAATATTAATTTTTATTTTCGTCCACCCTAAAAGAAATTATTGGATCCGCTACTGCTTTGATATATATATATATATATTATACTATGTGGAGACAACTTTCTTAAAATGGGAATTAAAAAAATTATAAGTTATTACAATGTACAGTTTATCTTATTTATAATTATCCTAAGTTGAGACTAAAATTTGTTATGACTATATAAAAGTTATTCCTATATACAATATTACTATAGAGAGATTTTATTGTACTTATAAAAATTCATAGTCTAATTGAGATTTTTCGGTTCCAAGTTATGACTTCTTTGATTCTAATCTAATTGACTTCAACTTGAAAAGAAGAAATCCTTTTTCTGAATAAGACTTTCTAAAGTTAAGTTAATTACGCTGCAGTGCAGGGGGGAAATCATCTCTCTCTCATAATTTATTCATAATTATGTACACTCCATGATCCTCCTTTTCCATTTTGCCTGTACTTATAAGACTTCACAATGTCAAAAGACTTTCTGTGTATGTAAAGCATTCTTGGTGACACATATTTAATTTTTAAGTTTAATGTTTAGTTTTTTTTTTAGATTATCTATGCATATTATTATATACTTTAAAGACCTCTATAACATTTTCTAAAGGAAAAGATATGTGGTAGTGTATATTCCTCATCATCGTTCAAACAAAATATATAACCAATAAAGTGCTCTTTACACTTATTTCAACAACCTCATTATAATTCTGTATTGGGAACTGATTTTCCAACCCCACTTATTTTATTAGTAAGAATAAAATTGAAAAGAATAAATAAATAGAACATGAAGTATGTTTTACATCGATAATTATCAAATTATTTTCATTTGTTTAAATAAACAATAACGCTAGATTTATAAAGAAATCTTACAAAGATTTATGTATAAAGTGATGTGGCAAGAAATGAATGGAAGAGTAAATATGATGAGTTTGATTTTTTGTGTTCGTTATTTCATTCGTTTCTTACCACATCACTTTATATATAAATCTTTGTAAGATTTCTTTATACATGTAGCATTACTCTTAAATAAAATCGCATCCCAATTAAGGTATATTACTAAAAAAACATGGTTATTCTTGATTTTTTGATAAAAATTATAAAAATTTAAATTTAAATTGGGACGTTACCACTAGAGGCAAGAGAAGACAAAGAGCCAGATTTACCATCTTAATCTAACTAACCGAACTTTTTTTCAATTTTTTTTTAATTCTTTCTTTTAAAAATTGAATGATTTTAATGACATCTTTTGTTTGCTATTTATTTTACTTTTGAAACACTTCTACTTTAGAACTCTAGACTAATAGTTTTGTGAATTTTGTCAGACTTGATAAAGGCAAGAAAAATAATTGAAGAGAGCCAAAATATATTCGAGAGATATACTCTGATACCATGTCAAAATTCAAAAGGCAAGAAAGATGATTGAAAAGAGTCAAAATATGTCTGAGAGATATCTTTAAGAGGATAAAAGAGACAATTGAAGAGAGTCAAAATATGGTCGAGAGAAGAAAAAACTTATTAAGTAAATAACAATTTAATTTCAAGTTCTTCGTTTTCTTTTGATTTTCTCTGAATTCTTTCTAAACGGGTTTGAAAAAAAACTTTAATTTTCAGGAAGAACCAAAGAAATTACTTCTTCTCCCTTTGTACGACTCCATTGCAACTTCCTGCTCCCCTAAATCTTCGTAATCACCTCCCTTCTTTTCTGTTCTAATTCCATCCAACCTATTGATGTGGGCTTGGATTTTAAAAAGTTAGGGGCTAATATAAAATGAGTGGGATTTCCACGCCCAACCCAGGCTCAAGGTTTTTACATTCCTAATAATAGAGATGTTAGATTTTCACTTTTACTCCAATATTTGATCGTACATAATTCTAATTACTACAGAAGAAAATCACTTATCACCTCTCATCTCTATGATTGTCACTCGAATTTGAAGTCATCCATAACTTTTAACAAATTCACCCCTTAAAATAACTCTCTTATGGTTTTTGTCAATCAAAAAGGCGTATCATTGTCTTTACACTCTCATTAATTATCTTACATTAACTTTATTTTTTTAATGAAAATTGAGGGGAAAAAAAAAGGTTAGTAAAAATTGGAAGAGATCAGGGGAGACGGGTGGGTGTAAGGCAAGCAAGTTCGAGTTTTGGGTCGGGTTTGACCGAACTGACTAGAGTTGACAGAAAACTGGGCCCAGCAAATTGGACCCGAACTAGCCTCTCACACAGTGTCAATCCAACTTGGTTGGGTTGAATAGGATGATATCAAGTTGAGCCTAAAATACTTACAATTAAAATAATAAAATGGCCCATATTTAAATAAAAAGTGTTTGATTTGAGTTTTTTTAAAAACAACCCAACATTTCATGACCATTGAGTGGTTATTTTCATTAACATTTTATCAATTCTTAAACCATTGAAAATTTGTGTCAATAAATTAAGTTAACGGATCACATCCCTTTATAATAAATTTATTGCCAACAGAATAAGTATTCAAAACCTATTGCTTTCCAAACAAAAAGCTGTCAATACTTTTAAAGAATGAAAAAGAAAAACATAATTAATTATATAAAAATTAACAAATTTGCTTTAAATTTTCGTTTTCACTTTCAAATCTGCTTCCAAAAAGCACTTTTGAAGCAGACAACCAGAAATCAAAAGAAATAAAGGAAACTTAGCATTTGAAGAAAGTAACCAAAGAGTTTCTCTGTCTTGCCAATGAGAAGTGAGAGATTTTGGTTGAATTCAAATGATATTTGGATTGCTTAGGATTGTTGGA